GCACCAATTTGTGCTTAGAGAGCTTATATCAAATTTATGGAGACTAAGCCTAAATTCTCTTTTTATATTTATTCTTTTCTCTTAGACCATGTCTTTTAAATATTAATTTAATGAAGAACTTAATTATAATCCATCAGAGTTGTTACACTGATAATTCTGTTAACTCACACAGTGTGCATTTTTGCCTGCTTTCTTTCTTGGCTGAAATAGACTAAACATCTTTAATATGACTGCTCTTTTCCAGCTTACTCCTATAATCCTATATTACTTTACAGTGCATTTCCCCATACTGCTGTGTTGCTTTCAGTCTGAATTGTGTGTTTAACCTGGTCATAGTTTTACAATTAGTCATTGTGTCGCCAGTACACTTATCAATTCCTGTGATCAGTCAGATGGCACCAACTTTCATGTTAATGCACAGAGCAAATAATGCATTAGTGAGTTGATAACAACATTCACGACTGATTATCTTGATTGCCAGTGTTAGGATAAGAGCAGCCAGAGAACAGAAAGATACCCTGGGTATGTTGAACTCACTTCATAGTACAGAAAAACTATGACAGAAGTTAAAAATGGCAAAACATTTAAAACCAATATTAGTATTTGTGGGATTATTACCCTTAATTTTAGAAAATATATGTATATAAAAAATGTATATATTAAACATAAAGTGAAAGATAAAGAGGGGTTCGAACTCAGATTAGAGCCACTACTCCTTCAGATTGAAAAGAGCCAGTTAATGTGGTTTGGCCTCCTGGGTGAGGTGTTCCCGGCATGTCCTACTGGGAGGAGGCCCCATGCAGACCCAGGACATTCTGGAGTCTCAGCTGGCAAGGGAACACTTTGGTGTTCCTTTGGAAAAGCTGTAGGAGGTGGCCGGGGAGAGGGAGCTCTGGGCTTCGCTGCTTAGGCTGTTGCCTCCTATCGATGGATGGATGGATATTTTTATACACATACCACTTGATAAATTCAAACACACTATTAATGAGGTATTCCACCAAACATTAAGCACATGCAAGACAGCGCCTCTGTAAACTCACAAACTGTGGGTTTGTGGGTTCACAAAAAACTCACTAAGCATACAAACTAGCATAAATATAGTGATGGTTTGATGAAGTCCTGTGTGGAATCTTTCAGTTGCTTCACCAAAGGGCAAATGACACTAAGCCCTGTTCAAAAGCTCAAGTGCTGACATCTGCTGGTCATTCAATGTACAGCAGCCTTGCTTTGATAATACATGTGGGCTACATAACAGTCGATATATAAATGTAATGATGTATCAATGCAAAATACCTACATGAGGTCCTGTGTGTGCGTATGTATGTGTAGAGAGAGAGAGAATACCTCTAACTAACCATGCTCTCTGAGATTAATGTAAGATGTATGTTATTATTGGGAGATATGATATCGCCTTTTTCCCTAATGTGCTTACAATCTCCTTGCAAGTTTGTGATGATCCTTAGAATCACCCCAGATCCAGTTCACGCAAAAAAAAATTTAAAAAAATTCCTGCGTCTTTTCAACAGCTTGAATCACATAATGAGACACTCGCGTCACATCAGAGAAATGGGCCCTCGTTTATCTTTGGTCATGTGATATTCTGAAGAGTGGTACAGGCCTTGACATGGGCTTCATTTGGACACACCTCCTTAGTCGACACAGGCCTCCAGGCTTCAGTTTCAGACATACCAGCCCTACAGAAATGAGAAAAGGTTGAGAAAAATGATCCTATAAGTGTTGTATTTGTAATAGGGCTGCCATGATTAGTAGACTAGTAACGATTACGTCGACTATTAAAATTGTCGACGACTAATTTAATAGTCGACTTGTCGTTTGAAGCTTTGTAAGATCCCAAACGACGCAGGAATAAGTAGAAGTATTTAAGAGTGTAATAGCGGACTGAAACAGAAGAT